CTCAGGTAACCAGGACTGGCCGAGGCTTGCGCTGCCGGCAGTGGCAGCAGCAGAGGTGTAATGGGGGCGTCGCTTTCCCCTGATCACCGGGTCGCCTCCCGCCCCTGAGGGCTCCTGGACTGTGAGAGGGGGCAGGCCAGGCTGAGGGACCCCCCTCCAGTGCATGAATTTTCATGCACTGGGCCTCTAGTTTATATATATAAAAGGTAATATGTGAAGTGTCCAACTGTCTGATCTGTCACTATGATGCGCACTGACCACCAAGGGGCAAACGCTCAATGCAGGAGCTGCAGTGACTTGGCAGCGGTGGTTCTCGGGTGACACACCCCGAAACCAGAGGGGAGGGACCCTGATTCCTCACAGGGCTGCGTGATTCCACCTCTGGCTGTGGGTTATGTTGCTGCTGGGGCACTGTAGGCCCGGAATCTGGTTTACTGCACACTTGCGTTTGTGTTCCACACCCTGTATAATAGCAACTTTGCAGAGTGCCCTCTCGCACTCCGGGACCCCTTGGGGATGTCAGGGAGCTGGTTTCGGCCCGATGCCTACAGGCCAGGCCGAGGGACCCTACCTGCCAGAGGGACCCAGCTCCCTCCGCAGACGCCAGGGAGGGACCGCGGGAGGTTGACTCCAGGGTGTGACTGGCCCATCTCGCCCAGTCCCACCCTGCTGGCCACCTTCTAATTAATTTCCTTTCAATGTGCACGAATCTGTGCACTGGGTCACTAGTATCAAAATGAAAGACAAGAAACACAATTAAGTTAGGCTTCAAAAGACCTGGGATGAACTTATAAAAGGGATACTATGCATTTACCTGGTTTTTATTCTTTCATGATTTAATTTCTTATTTTATTCACTACCATCTGATAATTGCATGAAACACTTATTCTAACCATGGGCAATTTAGAACATTTTAATTTGTATTTCAAGGCCACAAGACAAAGGAACCTATTTATTGCCTAAGGGGATTTTTTTAAACAAAAATTAAAGCTTAATCTTTCATGTTTTAAAGCATAGATGGTTTAAAATCATTTATAATAATGCTGTAGGGAGACTGTTCCTGGAAAAAATTGAAATGATAAATTTACAATTAAAAGAATTAATAGTTTAGGGGATTGAATGCCCCTTTCCTTTCTAGATAGATTTGTCTGACGAATAAGAGACATCTTTAAAAAGAGGGCAAAACCAAGGCCTGTACAGGAGTGGTGCACTTCAGTTTGACGGAGTTGTTCATGGAACAATAGTAAGCCTGGCTTTTTATTATTTAAAAAAAATAAGCAATGACATTGGCCTTGGCAACCATTTTTTTCTCCCCATAGGAAATTGCTCTGATGAAGTGGAGAGCCATGAATTCTACTAACCACGTTTTCTGTGACTTTGAAAGAGTCCCTGATGGAAATTAGACAAATAATTTACTTTCACTTAAACGCCAGATTTTTTTAGTTACACTTAAGAAAAATAATTGAAATGTAGATTTAAATCGTTTCTGCTGCTACACTTCAGGATTCTAATGAAATACTTTCAGCTATTATGCAAAGCATTCCTCAGTGGAGGGAGAAAAGCCACTCTCCATGATTCCTGGTTAGCAGAGGCTGTGGAAGGACAGCTCTAAGAGCAAAGGGAAGGACACCTTGCTGGGGGTGAGCAGGAAGGGAGGCGACCCATCTCAGGACACAGGGTCCCTTTCTGTAAGGCCCCAGGAAAAATCTGAAAAGGGTCAAATATATTTAAAGTTCCTTAAATACTTCAGCCATCTTCCTAGGCTGCCTAAGTACACTGCATCTTAATAAAGTTTTGCCATCCCTGGCCAGTGTGGCTCAGATGGTTGGACATCGTCTTGTCCGAGAGATTGCTGGTTTGATTTCCAGCTCTCCCTCTTTTCCTCTCTCTAAAAATCAATAAATTTTTTAAAAGAAGGTTATACCATATTTGTGCTCCTGACAACATTGGAGGGAATGGATGTGGAGCCATGGATGTGGACCTCGCCTCCACGCCCCCTCGCCTCTCACCCTACTCAGCACCACGGTCTCCTTGCTGTGTGTGATCATGACAAGCTCCCTCCCGCCTCCCAGCCTTTACCCCTGCTCAGTCCCTGATGCCTGGTCCCTAGATGTCAACATGGCTTCCCCTCCTCTTTTTTCAGGTTTCTGCCGCAATATCACCTTTTCAGAGAAAGAAAGCCTCTTTCAACCCCTTTCCTCGCTCTACCTTGCTGCCTGGTCTCTCTTCACAGTGCGTGTCCATCACATGCTGGGCACACACTTGTTTGCTTCTTGTCCGTTACCCTGATGGGCTGGAAGTTGATAGACAGAAGGGAACAGACTGTCCCTTCTGCTTGCTGCTCTGTCCCAGCTCCCAGGGCAGTGCCTCACACTGTCTGACTGTATTATCTATCAGTCACATTACCACACGGAGCACCTCCCACCCGCTTTCTCGCTCAGCTTCTCAAACCGACAAGTCCTCTTTAAAGAATGAAATGTTTGAATATTAATTTTGATTCCCTGGAACCAAGCACAAATACCATGATAGAAGAATATATTTTAATAAAGTCAAATGAACCCTTAAGAAGCAAACAATAGGCCACATACCCTTAGCCTAATTGTCAGAATAGCAGCATAATTTTAATATAACTATAATAATATGTCAAAGTTTAATGTAAGGACCCATGACCCAAACTGTGGGCTATATGGCTCCTTGCCATACAAGGAAGAGAGTTTTCATAAGAAAAAGAATTTTCTTTTTTCTACCTTGTTACCAATGATTTGACCAGTTCCTGCTGGTTATCCTATCTAATAAAGAGGGAATATGCAAATTGACCATCATACCATCACAAAGATGGCGGAGCCCAGTCCCCTCAGCCCCGCCGGAGTCCCCGAGTCCTTTCAGCCCCGCTGGAAGGGTGGCAGGCACGTGGTCCAGTCGCTCCTTGCGCCTGCCGCCTGAGTCCCACAATCCTTTCAGCCCAGCCGGGGGGGTGGGAGGGGAGGGCAGGTGCATGGTGCAGCCGGACCCGCCCTCAGCCCCCCAGCCGCTCAGGGCCGGCCCGAGGTGCAGGCAAGCCTCAGATGGTGGCTGCCCAGCTGCCCAGGGCCACCCAAGACTCAGATAACCAGGGCTGGCCAAGGCTTGTGCTGCCGGCAGTGGCAGCAGCAGAGGTGTGATGGGGGGGGTGCCTTCCC